ATGTTTGTTTTCAAAAATGCATTTATACAAAAACAGGTTTGGACATTGAAATTCAGTTTTAGAAAAGGCATCATAATAGTCGTGATTTCCTGGAGGTCTACCACTTTATTATTTCTGGAAAAGTAAATTATTCCACATATTCCTATTATTGGAAATATTTAAATTCAAATCCAAGAGATATTGGGGTTGAAACTTTTTTGGCTTAGAGAGGATTTGCATGGAATTTTGATGATAGCAATAATGAATAATATTTATGTAAACTGCAAACTTTGTTACAAATAATATTTCTTGGCTTTGGTTTGGGAAGCCCTTAGATTCATATCAGGAACCTTTAAGACTCCAGTGTGCTGTGAGCTTTGTTCATTAATTTTTGTGTTTGATGTCTTGAAGGAAGACGCAGATTGCAAATATTTGAACATTTAATGCAAAGAGAATTCCTTGGATTCAAAAGACTCAAACAAGCTGGGAATAGTAATGTTCCAAAACTCTCGCTTACTTTTATTTGTTGTGATAGAGTGGAAGGTAGCATATTTAATGAGAATGGGAAAATGTATGCAGACTGAGAAGACCAAAATGATTATGGGAGGGTAATATTAATATTTACGCTTTTGTCATACAAAATTTCGATTCAGATTCAGGAAATCCATGTTCTTTTGCAGGCGACAACTTGGAGTCAACACCTCTCGAGCGATCATACAAGTGCCAGGTGCTGGGACACTACCCGGAGTCAGTGCTGTGGAACCCTTTTGACAGGAATGCAGTCGGCATGGTGAGTGTGAAATTGTAGCCAGGGCGCAGTAACTTTGTTTGATTTTCCCTACCTGTACTACTTTGTTACAAAAACACTTGTATTTTTACACTTAGAACACAAGTGATTTTATGCATTGTCTGGCAGATTACGTTACTGCTAACCAAATTTTATCTTTGTGATCTACATTGAAAAGTGCGTAGCACAAATTACATTTCAGCCTCTATCGGTCCTCTGTAATTCTTTTGCACGAAGTTCAAATGGGCATGCATGCACGTGTGTGTGTATGTATTTTTAATTACTATTCATGAGGAAAAATTGTATGTGACATTAAGGACAGATGTTTTTAAGAATTTTAATTTTTAGTTTAAACATTTTTGATGGGGTTACAGTTAATTGAAGAAAGAATAATTTATTCCTCTATGTAGTTTTAGCAGTAGGCGTATGTCTGCAGTAAAAAGTAAAGTTTGTCCCACTATACGCCATGTAGGCGTTTGGGGTGAGTGGAGGTATAGCTCCTCTCTTCCTTGACCTCGGCACTAGATGGGGGTGAGTGGTCAGCATCACGCCCCGGCCGGCTTTTCCCCCGGGAAAGGACCCCGGTACCCATTGTAGAGGAGGCTGGGTGGGCTCCAGAGCCAGTCTGGACGCAGAGGCTAGAGGAGAAATCCTCTGCCCCCGTCGGGGATCGAACCCCGGTCGTCCAGCCCGTAGCTAGTCACTATACTGACTGAGCTAAAATACCATTGACTGATGCAAAATGTTATTTGGAGAAAGTGTATTGAAGCACACCTTTAATGTTGTTTGTCCTATGTAATGTTTATGGCAGTCTTGTCGAGTTAGCTGATAAATTCCACTTTTATTATATCTGTCTGTTGTTTTAAGTGTTTATAATATTGGTTTTTCTGAAACTAATATTGATTTCTATATTTTTGAAGAGGTTTGTGATTTTTCTGGTACATTTTGCTAAATGAGGTAAGCTGCTTAAGACACAGTCCATTGCGTGGTTAAATCAGCAACAGAATATTTGTATACAAATTAGTAGTTGTATCTATTAATTTTGAACACCTGAAGATTACCAATTAAGGTCGAATCATATAGTGATTTCTTAATAAACACTGAAAGTATAATCAGGAATTCTTGTGCAGACAGACTGTCAACCTGAAGGCCCAGTTCCTGTTGTGTAGGAGGCTGGGTGGGCTAAAAGCGAATCAGAACTTGATGGTGCAGAGAAAAGTACGTTTCATTGCTGGGATCCAAACCCCAGATATCCAACATGTAGCTATTATATGGAATTATCTACTGCGATTGCCCTGTCCTCAGCTGTGCCTGCCGCACGGCCTGCAGTTTCGCACGCAGAAGCACTCCCTGGAGCCGCAGTTCCACAGCTTCGTCATCACACGAGAGGATGGGCGCCGCAGCTATGGCTTCAGTCACGTGTTCTACGAGGAAGTGCGCAACCGCAAAATCTGCTCAGCCATGCAGACCCTGCAGGTGGGTTTCTAGATGGTGGAGGTAGGAGTAAATATGGAATTTTTGGATAACAGCCACTGGCAAATTTAAGAAAGGGATAGGAATATGTTTTCAAGATAAAACTTGGTGAACTGGTTCCGAGTATGCGAAGTGAATTGAGCTAGCCAAGAAACATGTTTGGTAGAGCGCTTTGGACATACTGGTTCTGATACTATGCTGTTAGTAGGTATTTAGGTGATTAACCCTTTGAAGTTGAAGCTTGTTAGAATATTTAAAAAAATCAGTTGCTACCAAAAGGAAATAGCATGTCATGTGCCACGGCCAGGGGTGTTGATGCTTTGCAGCTGTCGGGCAGTGTCAAATAAAGTCGAGCAGTAACTTTATATTTGAGTTTAATTTAGGTCGATTGGCCGTGGCTAATATTCTGACGAGCCAAGTGAATGCTGTGTAAGAGTGATAGTTAAAGGCAAAATTTTCACGTGAGTAACGATGATTTATTGACAAGAAGTGAGTTCATACAAGCCATTTATAATGGGGAGACCAGAGAACTGCGAGTTGTAATTTCTAAGTCAAACTTCAGTGGACAGATTCGCACAGAGACGACCCCGCAACTAAGTTTGCGAAAAATTCCCCGTTCCGTATTTTTAGAGAGCTTTTATATGTTCTTTAACGAGGCGTGATCAACGTCACGCTTGTCCCCAAGCTCGGTTGTGTCCCCCTTACATTGTATGGTTTCCATCACAAGTATCTCCTTGACCTATGTTCTGTCATGTGTGTGGGGGTGTTCTTATCATAAATGGGGATGCGGACATGGTACGAGGGTGGGCGGAACTTTTCATTGTCACCAGATGTGGGTCGCGTCCATACTTGGGTGCTTCACACATTGAAAGTTCAAAACAATGAGTAGATGTCTGCTAACATTTGGTGAGAGTGTGTGGTTGGCACTATTTGGTCCATGATCTTCTGAATGCTACAAGCATGTTTCTATCGTGAAGATTAGTTGGTTAATGTTTAAGGAAATAGATGCTGTTAATTCAGAGTTTCAAATTAAACTATTAAAGACTTGAGGTTCTTACAGCGGTGAGTATGAAGATATCCGTCTTCTGGGTTATTGCGCTGTGTAGTCTGGTCGATGTTAACCAACGTTTCAGAGGTCATACTGCCTCCGTCAGTATGACCTCTGAAACGTTGGTTAACATCGACCAGACTACACAGCGCAACAACCCAGAAGACAGAAATCTTCATCGCCCTGATGATGGAGGCAGTATGACCTCTGAAACGTTGGTTAACATCGACCAGACTACACAGCGCAACAACCCAGAAGACAGAAATTTTCATACTCATCGCCCTGATGATGGAGGCAGTATGACCTCTGAAACGTTGGTTGACATCGACCAGACTACACAGCGCAACAACCCAGAAGACAGAAATCTTCATACTCATCGCCCTGATGACGGAGGCAGTATGACCTCTGAAACGTTGGTTAACATCTACCAGACTACACAGCGCAACAACCCAGAAGACAGAAATCTTCATACTCATCGCCCTGATGACGGAGGCAGTATGACCTCTGAAGCGTTGGTTAACATCGACCAGACTACACAGCGCAACAACCCAGAAGACAGAAATCTTTAAACTATTAAACGTTCCAGGAACAAGAACTGGTAATATCTGAAGGGCAAAATTAAGGGCCTTGAGACACACAGTAAGAACAATAATATTATATCTTTGCATAGAGCTATAGATGAATTTAAGAAGGTGCACCAACCTAGAAGTAATTTAGTAAAGGATTTCCACTGTTTTGAATATACTCTACTTCTCTCACCTATTATTAAGTGCACGACATTAGACCAACTGAAATACAGTCAAGGGCTCAGTCTCTAAAGTCTTTCGTGTGAACCCAGATCTTTGCAGGTTGAGATTGTTATTGAACAGTTGAGAATGTGTAAGTCCTCAAGTATTGATAAAATTCAAACAGAATTGATCCAGGCAGGAGGTAAAATATTATGTCCTGATATCCACAAACTTATTATGCTTGGAATATGGATTAATTACCACAGCAGTAGAAAAACATTTGCTCATAGAGAAATATTGGTCACCTGCTGATGAGATATTTTGCTTCAAGGAAGCCCATGATTCATTTTGATTAGAAGTATTGTAAAACATTCTTACTGAATTTGATGTACCCTTGAAACTACTTAGGCTAATTAAAATGTGTTTAAATAAATCTTGTCATAATGTCCAGATAAGCAAACGTGTCTCGCGTATTTCCAGTTAAAAATAGTCTGAAACAAGAAAATACTTTTTTCCTTTGCTTTTAAGATTTTTTATTTAGAATTTGTAGGTCCAAAATTATCAGGAGGAGAAAATGAACTTGAATTGGAACATCAGATCTGTGCTGATAGCGTTAATTTGTTTTACAAAGACATGAAAAACACAAAGAAAAATGCAGGTCTATTAGATACTGCTAAGAAGGCTGGTGTAAAAGCAATAGCATTTTCATGTCTCGTGACCAGACTACAAGGCAGGATCATCGTATAACAGTAGCTAATGAATGTTGAAAATTTGACAAAGTCAAAAGCTTTGGGAACAGCAATAAGAAATTAAATTTGTGTCTGCTCGCTACCATTCAGTCGGAACATTTGTTTATCCGTCTGATATCAAAAGTTTAATATTGAAATGCGCAGAACTTGGTCCCATACATTAAGGAAAAAACAATTTTGAGCACAGGGTGCTGAGGGGGAGTATTTGGACGTAAAAGAGAGAACACTACACCAGACTCAAAATGATCAGATCCATAATTTGTTCTCCTCATCAAATAGTATTAGATGGATGAGATGGGCAAGGCATGTAGCAGACATGGGAGAGACAAGAATAAATGCACGTGATGCTCAAGTGTGAAGACCTAAAAGGAAGAGACTAAAAGGATGAACTACTTGTAGGTGGGAGGATAATACTAAAATGGATCTTAAGAAATTTGGTTTCGAAAGAGTGGATTGGCTTTACCTGACTTCAGGAAAGAGACAGATGGTGGGCTGTTGTGAGCCTTCATAATTCATAAAAGGAAGGAATAGCTAAGTAGCCATGTTATAATTAGTTTCTTCTGAATTGTTTGGGTTAATAAGTAATTATAACCAACATTGTGAGCTTTCTGTTTTTTCTTTACTAATGTCAATCTTCCGCGTTTATTAGTACCTTAATAAAGTGGTCACCAACGTGGTGCCCGCGGGCACCAGTGCTTTTTTTGGGTGTCCGCATTGATACTGAAAGAGGTTATACTGAATAATGAAGGCCGTTCAACCATGAACATTATAAAATCAAAGCACAGATCTCTACTTACTAATGCCCATCTTGACGATTATTTGCGAGCAGCAACAAATTTGAAAAACTGGCCGATGAAATGCAGTGCCAAACAGCACACTAACTTCCCACTTGAGTAATAATAATTGAACTTATAAACGTACATATTTTTGATTGCATGGTTTCTTGTATCATTAAACGTCGTGTTGTTTTGTGCATTATTTGGTGTCCATATCTTATTTTTCCAGAGAAAAGAAAATTTGGTTTTGTTAATTGGTTGGTGCCCGCCACGATCTCATAAACTCTCAAATGTGCCCATAGGCACAAAAAGGTTGGGGACCACTGCCTTAATATATCATCATTTGTATGGCCTTTTAAAAGTAAAGTCTTTTCCATTTAAAAACTGATGTACAGCATGATTCTAAATTCAGTTGTAAACATACATTCAGACTTGAAATATGGTAGTCTGTTAAGTTGATAACTGAGAAGTTTGTTTGACATGGGGCTGGTCAGAGTGAGGGTTCCCATTCCAGCTTCTAACTTGTTAATATATCAATCACATTTGAACATGAGGTGACACCGCTGTTTAATAAAAAAGCAACAGGTCATATTTAGTGACTCCTTGTGTTCTGTGACTGCTCAAGTCCTCTTCAGGCTCTTGTGTATACAGGCGATGCATCTGACAGAGCTGTCAAGCAGTCAAGTTGGTAGTAGGAGTCGGCGAAATCATTCTTCTGGACTGGGACATGACGCGCACAACACACGATCACTTCCACGCCACTTCAAACTGTCAACGCACAAGCAGGGGGCAGCACAGAGCTACTATGATGCAGTTAAGGACACACTCTACGTCTGCAAGAGCATAGCACTGATATGTCAGCTACCATACGTGTATGCTGCTCGCAAATTCTTGGCTGGACTGCACAGGTAAATGCAGTGTTCTGTGCTCTTGAAACAATACTGAAACTCGCTGTTGTGTCCTTTGTAATGACCACATCAACTTGTTGCTCATTGTATTCCATTTGCGTTGCTTCTTGGTTAGCCACAGTGTGGCTGATCTGTGATGTTTGTTCTTTCATCATTAAAGTGTTTTACCTGTCATTGTGGTCTAGCAGTTAGAACGCTGGCCTTGTAATCCTGGGGTCTCGGGTTCGATTCCCGGCGGTGCCCGAATTTATAACTTGTGTTGGGCAAGGCCGTGGTCTAGGCAACACGGAATTTTCCTCCG